TAAAGCAGTCAAACGTGGTGGATTAAGACCGGCAGAGCGATAGGAGTAATGTGTCTGTGTAGGATTTACAACAGATAAATGAAAATGCGATAAACGAAGAGGCTGGCAAAAAAGATGAGGAGCAATTCAAATCGTGACAGAACACAATAGAATGTTTCATCAAGTCTGATTAAGATGAGTCAAATTTGGACTATGCGACGATTTCTTAAAGATTACAAATGTAATTAAAAGCGAGGCGTCCACCTTAAGGAAAAACTTGAAGCTTAAATTAATCCTTGCATTCTGACAAGTAAGCATCATTGCAAGGAACGTGGACTCGAGCCTCCGGTTTACTCAAAAAGCTGGAGGAGATCAAGAACCACAGAAAATAATACTCGCAAGCTCAACCAATTCATTCATTAATCCATTCACTCACACATACTGCTGCCCATTCACTCAACTAGGCATCCATACATCCATTCGCTAAATCAGTTGGCAACCGAATCAGTGTCTTAGGCACTCATTAGAGCAAGACTTCAAGAATCTGACCCAGGAAAATTTAGCAACAACAATGCCGCCTACTTCTCTGCAGTCCTATGGGGCACGTTGTGTGTTAGACCACCAATTGCATAGATCATGTCATCCACCACTCCAACCGCCATACGATTTCGCGGCACGGACATGGGGGCACAGGTGTGCCACCGATTCGTTGTGGGGTCATAGCAATCCATGTGAGGTGCGTCGACGTTGCTTTGCTCATTGTTGTTGTTCCGCCCGCCCACAAGGTAGATACAACCACGCACCGAGGCTGCGGCCAAATCGCTTCGTGGACTGGGCACATCGGGCAAGCGACGCCATGTGTCGGTCACTCGATTGTACGCCTCGAAGTTACTTAGGGAGTAGCGCAGATACCCGCCGGCTGAGTATATCATCTAAAGAGGAATGAGTTATATTTGTAACAGTCATATTCAAAATAAATACAGAGAAAACTGGTTAAAGACTACGTGATCTGAGCAGTTACAGTACTGAGGCTTTCTAGTCTCCCAATGGAGCCTTAACCACATCACCTACTTTAATTGTCTTCCCAACTTTTTGCTAACAGAACTAATTCCATATTAATATGATCTTTAGAAAATTTAGAAATAACTCAAAAACAAGGCTAGTAGGTATTAGCTTAATCACTAACATGGATCAAAAATTACGACTTTCGCATTCAAAGACATCAGTAGAGCAACACAAAAGAAAAAGGTCCGAAGCAGGGACGTGAATCTGCGCTGGCTTACAAAAGAGGCACCATAAAATTCACATTAAACCATGTGTGTAAAAGAACTACTTAGAGCATAACCATGACCATAGTGGAAAAGTAAAAAAGATCCAAGAGGAGACCGAGGTGGATAATACTGAGCTGTGATTGTAGTCGTCAACGTGGCAAGATAGGGAAACTTACAGCAATTCTTCAAAAATACAGGATTTTGCAAAATCTGGCTTCATTACACTGCGGCAACGTGTTTAAATTGGGATGCCCAACACCCCCCAAAACCTCATTTTTAAAATTTGAAAGATAATCAAAATGAGTGTTATAAAGAATTGATTATGCCAAGCCCTTCCACTAGATTGGCATAGACGATTTCAGGAGGTAAATCAAGCATCGCATTTAAGGAAGAATCGGCATCTGCAGAGGGGCAGGTAAAACTGCATCTAGTGTTTTGCATAATGCTGGACGAAATTGGGCAAAAAAGGAACTAGAAAACTTGAAGTCATTCAATATTTACAATAGGCCTGTGAATAATAGCCTCGCCTTAAGATAACACTTCCTATGTGCCCTTTGTTTAAACCATTTGGCATTTTCCAAACCCGTGATTCGTTCTCCACGACGGTAGCATTAAGGTCCGGCAAAACGCTTCCATCCCCCCTCCCTCCTTCCTACACATTTATAACAAAAACAACTTCACACTCGTTGATCTTATTAGCGTGTCTAGGGGTAGCCCAGGTACTAAACTCATACCGATGTTAGCGAACTCAATCTGTAAAACAAAAAAGAAGTAAGGAATCAGCCG